ATCACAGCCTACATATACTCATAGAAAAATCATTAAAGCGCCTTTGCTCCATCAGAGCTTAGGTCCCCGTGTCTTTTCTGTTTCTCTCTCTCTCTCTCTTTTTCTGGCTGATTCTCTGGAGCGTGGAGACCCATCGTGCTCACTTTCCTGCCCGGGTTTCTAAGACCCTCTCGAGAAGGCACTTTGTGCCTTCACCTCCTCGAGAGGGCACCTGGTGCCTTCATGAGCAATGCAAGTCCTATGTCAAGGGCTTTATTGGTCCCCTGCGTAAACCAGGGAATATCAGCCTCTTTCTCTCTTTTCCTTTCTTACCATCGACTCCGTACCACCAGGTTCTGGTCCATTAAAGGACCCCAACAAAAAGGAAAATAAAATGGGAGTGATCATTGTACCCAATAGTTAAGCATAATATATAGCTTCAGTAAGAAGACAGTGTGGTGTGAACATAGACATTTGGATGGGTGAAACAGAAAACCCAGAAATATGCCCACACAAATGTGCCCAACTGAGTTTTTTGACAAAGGTGAAATACTGGACAGACATTAAGTATAAAAAGAAACCTCAACCTAAACCTCACACTTTATATAAAATGTAATTTAAAATGGGTCAGATACAAAATGTAAAACTTTTTGAAAAGAATTAGAAAATCTTTGGTATCCGGGGTTAGGCAAAGAATTTTTACACTTGTTAGAAAAAGCACAATTCATAAAGGGAACAATTGATAAATTAAGCTTCACCAAAATCAAAAATTTTGCTCTTCAAAAGACTATCAGAGAAAATATTTGCAAACCATAATTCCGACAAAAGACTTGTATTTAGAATGTATAAAGAACACTCAAAACTCAACAGTAAGAAACAACACAGTAGAAAATGGGTAAAAGACAAAAACCTTTCACTGAAGAGGACATACAGATGGCATTTGGCAGGTGAAAGATGGTCAACATCACTAGTCACTGGAGAAATGCAAACTAAAATCACAGAAGAGATATTACTACACACCTATCAGAACGGCTACAGTGAAAGACAGTGACCACACCAAACACTGTCAAGGACGCAGAAGAATTGGGAATGTAAAACAGTACAGCTGCCTGGGAAAAGAGAATGGCAATTTCTTACAAAATTAAATATGTAACTATCAAAATAACTCAAAAATTCCACTACTGAACATTTATGCCAGGGAAATGAAAACTCATGCTCATGCAGAAACCTGTACATGAATGTTCATAGTCACTTTATTTATAATAGTCAAAACGGGAAATAACTTGGTTACCAAGTTATGGTACATCCAAGATAGAGAATACTAGTCACCAATGAAAAGAAATAAATTATTGATACATACAATTTGGAACGATCTCAAGGGAATATGTTACATGAAGAAACCCAAACTCTAGAAGTTAAGTATTCTATGATTCCATTTATACAGCATTTTTGAGACGACAAAACTATAGAGTGTGGAAACAGACTAGTGTAGTCAGCGGTTAGTCAGGGGTTAGGCACAGTGCAGGAGAGAGGGAGGTGCCTATGGCTGACTATCAAAGAATCTGCACAAAGGATCCTTGTGATAACAGGACTATATCTGGACTGTGATGGCGGTGACCTGAAATTGCAAAGAACTACACACATACCAGCACAAGTTTAACTGGAAAAATCTGACTATCAGTGGATTGCATCAACATCAATATCCTGGCTGTGATATTTACTACAGTTAAGCAAGATTTTACATCTAGGGGGAAATGGGTGAAGGGTATTTGGGATCTCTCTGCATTATTTCTTATAAATGTATGTGAAATTACAACTATCTCAAAATGAAAAATTAATAAAAGCTAAGGCCTGGCAGGTATTTCTGACAAAAACACAGATAACCTGAACTTAATCATGAAGGAACAGACATCAGACAAGCTCAAATCCAAAACAGCTGGATTAGAATCTTCAATCAATGCCATGAACAGGTTAAGAGAGACACGACAACCGACTACAACGAACGATCTGACTGGACCAATCCAGGGCTTTCTTTTCTATAAAGGTCATTATTACGATAATTTTACAAAACTTAGAAAAGGTATATAGATCAGACAATGATGTTAATGTTAATTTCATTATCTTGATAATCATACTGTGGCTATATAAGAAAATGTTCTTTCTTTTAAAAAATATACAATGAAGTATTTAAGTGTAAAAGGGCATCTTATCCCAAATTTACTCTCAAACAGTTTTTAAAAAAGTATATATAGACGGGAAAACAATGGACACCATGACAGACTTTAGTTTCTTGTGCTCCAAAATCACCGCAGGTGGTGACTGCAGCCATGAAATTAAAAGACACTTGCTCCTTGGAAGAAAAGTTATGACCAACCTAGACAGCATATTAAAAAACAGAGACATCACTTTGCCAACAAAGGTCCATCTAGTCAAAGCTATGGTTTTTCCAGTAGTCATGTACGGATATTAGAGTTGGACCATAAAGAAAGCTGAGAGCCAAAGAATTGATGCTTTTGAACTGTTGTGTTGGAGAAGACTTTTGAGAGTCCCTTGGACTGCAAGGAGATCCAACCAGTCCATCCTAAAGGAGATCAGTCCTGAATATTCATTGGAAGGACTGGTGCTGAAGCTGAAGCTCCAATACTTTGGCCAGTTGATGCGAGGAACTGACTCACTGGAAAAGACCCTGATGCTGGGAAAGACTGAGGACATGAGAAGGGGATAGAGAGACGATGATATGGTTGGATGGCATCACCGACTCGATGGACATGAGTCTGGGCAAGCTCCAGGAGTTGGTGATGGACAGAGAAGCCTGGCGTGCTTCAGTCAATTAGGTCACAAAACATTGGACATGACTGAGCAAGTGAACTGAACTGAACTGATACACATGGAGAAGGAAACAAGGTAAAAGGTTAACTGCTGGAGATTTGGGCAAGAAAATACTTTATGCTATTTTCACAACTTTCCGTAGGCCTGAAATGACAAATAATAAAAATTATCATGATAAAAATTCCAAAGATGTAGGATGCTGCAGAGCCTGGCACACAAATGTTCAATAAATTATACTTTTTAGATGCTTTATACATACTTTCAGATGCAGAAACAAGTTGAGAAGCTATATAAACTGTGCAAGAGGGACTGTGGCAAATTGGTAGTAACGTCAGGATTTGAACTCCATACCAAAGTCTATGTTTCTTTTCACTAGAATGAGGAAGGATGAAATTTCACACACCCCCACCTTGCGCCATCCCCTACAGGGATTTACAGGTGCTCTGTTTGAATCGAGAATTATATTACATAAAAATTTTTTTAAAAATTTTAATTGGAAGCTAATTACTTTACAATATTGTGGTGGTTTTTGCCATACATTCACATGAATCAGCCATGGGTGTACATGTGTCCCCCATCCTGAACCCCTTCCACCTCCCTCCCCATCCCATCCCTGAGGGTCATCCCAGTGCACCAGTCCTGAGCACCCTGTCTCATGCATCGAACCTGGACTGGTGATCTATTTCACATATCATAATATACATGCTTCAATGGTATTCTCTCAAATCATCCCACCCTCGCCTTCTCCCACAGAGTCCAAAAGTCTGTTCTTTATATCTGCGTCTCTTTATATCTGCTGTCTCGCATACAGGGTCATTGTTACCATCTTTCTAAATTCCACATATATGCGTTAAGATACTGTATTGGTGTTTTTCTTTCTGACTTACTTTGCTCTGTATAATAGGCTCCAGTTTCATCCACCTCATTAGAACTGATTCAAACGCATTATTTTTAATAGTGAGTAATATTCCATTGTGTACATGTACCATATAGGTACATGGGCTCAGTCGTTGTGACCCATGGGCACGGCATGTGACATCTTCCTGGACATGCTGTGCCATGCGTCACAACTAATGAGCCCACGCGCCTAGAGCCCGTGCTCTTCAACAAGAGAAGCCGCTCCAACGAGGAGCCCATGCACTGCAACTGGAGAGCAGCCCCAGCTCACCACAACCAAGGGGGGCCGTGTGCAGCAACAAAGACCCAGTGCAGCTAAAAATAAAAAACTGGCTTCAAACCATGCTCCACACTGTTTACTTCTTCAGTTCAGTTCAGTCCCTCAGTCGTGTCCAACTCTTTGTGAGCCCATGAGCTGCAGCACGCCAGGCCTCCCTGTCCATCACCAACTGTCAGAGCCCACCCAAACCCATGTCCATCGAGTCGGGGATGCCATCCAGCCATCTCATCCTCTGTCGTCCCCTTCTCCTCCCGCCCTCAATCTTTCCCAGCATCAGGGTCTTTTCAGATGAGTCAGCTCTCTGCATCAGGTGGCCAGAGTATTTACTTCTTAGTTTCTTAGAAATACCTAGGACTGGGACCTAACATCTTACAACTGCTCCAGGGCAGATATTCTGTATATAGCACATCAAACAAACTATTAATAAGTTAACAAACTGACAGAAAACCATCTGCAAGTCCTTTACTACAGGGCAGTATATTGTTTTTCCTGTGCATTTATTCATCTTAACACTGAGTACTTGGGCTGTACTGGTCAATGTAATTTCCAGGGTGACTAGATAGATACATCTCTTCTATTGGTCCTTTCTGACCTCATCAATGCCCTGTGGCTAAGCTTAGATAGGACAGATAATTCACATGGGAAAAAAATTCACATGGAACAAAAGTATAAATAGTGAAAAGTCTCCCTCTTTCATCCTTCCAACTCCCCTGCTACTGACAACAAATATTACCAGCTTAAAAATGCAACTTTGCAATATTTTTTCAAATTAATAGAATTAGGTATATCACACTCTGATATTAAGCTAACCATTCACCTGGAATATTCCAAGTGATCACTATAAACTTAATAATTTCTCTATTTAGGTATTTCAAATATCCTTAAAATACTTGTATAGATATGTTTTTGACCACTTTTTTTAATGAAAAAAATGTTCATATTCTATATGATTACAACAGATGTCTATGAATTACGGCCAGTAAGCATTCATCACTACAGAGTACTGGTAGCTCACCTGGTTCCTGTCCCGGGCATTTGTGTACCTGATCTTCTGAATGAAGTAGAATATAAGCCAGGCTGAAGAAATAATCATCAAAACAATAAAGGATATTGACACGAAGACTAGAGAACCACGGCTGAAGTTCTTTGGCGGCATTCGAGTTCCAACAGCTATTGTCATTTGTACAGAGATGTTTTTCTCCAGATAACTCAAAATATCTTTACCCCTCAATTCTGTAATCATGACAGCAATAATATCTCCAGTGCCTGTAATGTAAAATAAATATATATACTCAAGTGACATTTAAAATTTACAGAATATCAAATATATAAAAATGTTACTTAGAAAAACTACTGCAATTTTTGCTAATGGCAAGGTTTTGCAGATTCAAATGAAATGAAGTTGTAATTGGGTATGCTGGCACCAAGTGGGAAAAGAAATTTGATGTGTACTACTTAAGATTTAAACAAACACGCTTAAAGCATAAAATGACTGTAGTGGTAAAAGCTGTATTAATTTGTCTTGCAACTGTATTTGAAAGACAGACCATTAAATCAGCCAAATGTAACAAGAGACAGTGCACAACATTGTATTATACAGCAATCATGCTCAGTTGCTCAGTCGTGTCCAACTCTTTATGACCCTGTGGAATGAAGCCAAGAGGGAAAAGCACCAGGCTCCTCTGACCATGGGCTTTCCCCAGCAAGAATACTGGAGTGGGTTGCCATTTCCTACTCCACGGAATCTTCCAGACCCAGCGATTGAACCTGTGTCTCCTGCATTGGCAGGCGGATTCTTGAACACTGAGCCACCTGGGAATTCTATCACACAGCAATAGAAATGTGACAAAATCACAGCAGGTTTCACTGTAAAACCTTTTCCATCTTAAATGTGCTTTAGAGAGCCCCAATTCCTTATGAAAAGGAGAAAAACACTGTTATTTATAATACAAAAGTTGGTACCTGTTGGCATTAACTTTTCTTATGAACATTTATGGAGCACCTATTGTGTGTAGAGCTAGCACAAGGAACAGAAAGAAGCAGAAGTTCAGGATATACAGTTTTATAATTTCATTGACTTAGGACAGAAATTTGATAATAGAGTGTCAACAGCAAAATGCCAAATGGTGGTATCTTTAATCAGTAACAGTTGAAACTATCTTAGGTCCTATGTGTAGACTGGACTAGGGGAAGGTTCCTTTTTTGTTCACCCCAGTTTATATGTTTCATTTATAATATTCAATTGAAAGGACTATCCTTGGACAATGTACAAAGACCATTTACAACTGAAAAGAAACTCAATAAGCAGTTTATCAGAATACTGATTAAAATTCCAAAAACAAAAAGAAAACTGAAAATTAAAGCAACAAGTTAACATCTAATTATCTTTCTGATATACGAGTTCTGATCAGTAAGTTAGAAAAAAATCTAAAATGATGCTAAACCATTTAAAATTTCCATTTAGAAACCTTAAGTGATTTTAAAATGCTGTTCAACACGCAATATTCTGTGGTATAAGATACCAGGTATGGCTATAAAGTAACTGAGACGGATCCCACAAACAACACATGACAATCAGTCTCATTGCTTTATAATCACACCAGGTACAAACAGTTTTAGAAATCAATTCTGAGGCTCCCTCTTGAAGACTCAAGCTGGAAAAGGAGCTGGGAAAGCTGTACAGGCAGCCAAGAGAACTGATCCATGTAATTTCATCCATCAAAACAACACTAAGTGAGCACCACCTAATTTCAATGGAAAGCTGTTTGGGAAAAGAAATATTTAATTATTTCAACCATCCTTTCAACAGTATTTATTGAGTTATATACTTTCATCAAGGCTCCTTAATATCCACTTCCCAAAGAGAATGGAAAATTACCTGCTGTGAAATAACAGAAAAGATATATATTGGTCTCTGTCTCTGGTTCCTGGGACAAAGCTCCTAAACACTTGCAATTTCCTAAGTAGCAGCACTAGGACCATCTTTGGTTCTAATATTGGGGTGGGGGGTCTCTCCCCTTGGTTCCTGACGCAGAGTCCCTAAATCCCTTGGAATCCCCTGGATGCCGGTAGTGTCTTTTGTTCTAATGAGATGAATCTTGGTGGGCTCCCGGCGAGCAGCAGGATTGTTGGCTGGTCAACAGAAAGACCAAGCCATGAGGAGGAGCTTGGAACTTTCAGCCCCATCTCCCAGTTCTTTGGGAAGGAAGAAGGACTAGAAATGTGAAGCCTGCATGAAAACCCAAAGGTATGGGGATCCACAAATGTCCAGGCCGGTGAACACATGGAGGAGGTGGAGGACAGCACGCCAAAGCGCCCTGCTCACACTCTTTGCCCTGTGTATCTTTTACCCTTTATAATAAACCAGTAAATGTTATGTTTCCCCCAGAGTTCTATCAGCCATTCTAACAAATTTTTGGACAGAAGGAAGGGGTTGAGGGAACCACAACATACATCTGGTGGGTCAGAAGTACTTGTGACAACACTGGACTGCCAACTGGCTTCTGAGTGGTGACAAGGGGGCTGGGGTGTCCTGTGGGACTGAGCTCTTCACCTGTGGGATCTGATGCTAACACCAGGCAGATACTGTCAGGATCAAACTGAATTACAGGACACCCAGCTAGAGTTGCTTAAAATCGCCTGCTACAGGGAAAACCCCACAAACATTTGGTGACCAGGAAGAGTGTCAGAAGTGAAGTCTTCTCTGTGAGTAGTGAAGGAGACACACACAGGGGAGCTTTTTCCTTCACACCTGCTCTTCATTACATGAAAACTACAACTGCTCTCAAAGGGCAATGGAGAATCTTAAAAGGGACTAGACAGAGAAGCCAAACACTACTACAATGCAGGGGCCTGGAAAGAGTGACAGGAAAGGAGACTAAAACACTGCTGGTCAAACAAAGTGAAAAATAATTATAGCAGATCATCAGAATACTAGCAAAGGAACCAGGCTATCAACCATTTTAGCTCATAAACCCCTTAGAGAATCTGATGGTAGTGTACTCCCTTCTAATCTCAGCAGAGGTCCATGACTTCCTCACACCCCATCCATAAATGAGATCTTGGCTCAAAGATCCTAATTTAAGGATTGTCTCAGACACTTGACTTTTAAAGACACGTGAAGCCAGTTTCTGTTGGGGGGAGGGTATTAGTGCAGGAAAAAATGTAAGCTCAGAACAAAATTAGGGTTAGATCAAGTAATGACTGATAAGAGCTGGATGAAGCACAAGCTACAATCAAGATTTCCAGGAGAAATATCAACAACCACAGATATGCAGATGACACCACCCTGATGGCAGAAAGGGAAGAGGATGAAGGTGAAAGAGGAGAGTGGAAAAGCTGGTTTAAAACTCAACATTCAAAACACAAAGATCATGGCATCCGGTCCCATCACTTCATGGCAAATAGATGGGGAAACAATATAAACAGTGACAGACTTTATTTTCGTGGGCTACAAGATCACTGCAGATGGTAACTCCAACCTGAAATTAAGATGCTTACTCCTTGGAACAAAAGCTATGACCAACCTAGACAGCATATTAAAAAGCAGAGACATTACTTTGCTAACAAAGGTCCATCTAGTCAAAGCTATGGTTTTTCCAGTGGTCATGTATGGATGTGAGACTTGGACCATAAAGAAGGCTGAGTGCCAAAGAATTGATGTTTTGAACTGTGCTGCTGGAGAAGACTCTTCAGAGTGCCTTGGACTACGAGGAGATCCAACTAGTCCCATCCTAAAGGAAATCACTTGGGAATATTCATTGGAAGGACTGATGCTGAAGCTGAAGCTCCAATACTTTGGTCACCTGATGCAAAGAGCCAACTGATCAGAAAAGACCCTGATGATGGGAAAGACTGAAGGCAGGAGGAGAAGGGGGCAACAGAGGACTAGACGGTTGGATGGCATCACCGACTCAATGGACATGAGTTTGAGCAAGCTCCGGGAGATGGTGAAGGACAGGGAAGCCTGGAGGGTGCAGTCCATGGGGTCGCAGAGAGTCAGACAAGACTGAGCGACTGAACAACAGCAAAGTACCTAATTTGACTGTAACAATACAAACATTCAATGAAAGATGACAAATATTTGGAACATTCATCACCACTCTCACATTAAAGCCCTTGGCAAACAATGCTAATAAATCATGAATATGGCCTCAGAATCCCATTCATTTCAACATGCTCAGTAGCCAGGATTAATTTGCCAGGGATACCAATTAAGTAAAAGCCTCGCTGTGATCCCTGCTTTCATCTATTTTATTGAAAGCTTTCTCCCTTGTCAGTTTTAACGTGAATGTTTCCCCTGCTTGAGTATGGCTACTTTAATAAACAACTCTACTCTTTCTTTTATTTTGAGAATTTTCAAGCCTACAGAATAGTTTCAATACTACATGAACACTTAACACACTTTTTATTTAGATCTGTCAACTGGTAATACTTCACCTTTTCTGTATGTTTTTGCTGAACCAACTGACAGTAAGTTGCAAACACCATGACATTCCCTTCTTAAATATTTCAGCATTATCCCCTAAGAACATGGATATAATTCATCTATCACAGTCAAGAAGCTGAACTCTGATGTGACACTGCTCTGCAGTGTACAATCTATGTGCAAATATCTCTGCCTGCTTCCAATGACTCACAGCTACTTAGGTTAGCTCAGTCCTCAGTACCTAATCTGGTCTTGTGGGCACTGTGCTTAGCTGTCCCTTGTTAGTCTCCTCTGTTTTAAAGCAGATCCCTCAATGTCACTTTCGGACATTCACAACACTGACCTTTTTGATGAGTCCAGGCAAGATATTTTAAAAACGTCCCTCAATCTGGATTTGTCTGATTGTTTTCTCACGATTATATCTCCAAAGTAAGTATTTTTGGTAGGAATGGTACACAGGTGATGCTATGTCCTTCTAGCATGCGACATCGTATGTCAGCTTTTACCTTTCTTGATGAAGGTGAGTTTTATCACTTGGCTAATCTGGTATCTGCCAGATTTTCTCTACTGTGAACAAATACTTGTCTCTTTTTAGTTAATAAGCAGTCTATAAGGTGATGTTTTCAGAATATCCAGTTCCCCAATAAGTCTTTGTTTAATGCACCCACTAATGCCCACCTGAATCAGTTACTACAACAACATTTGTAAAATGGTGACTTTTCTAATATCTTCTATTTTTTGCAAAGTGGTTCTGTAATCAATATGATTCTACCTATCTTTTTTTCCTACTAAATAAACAGAACTTCTAGGTTGGCATCTTTTCTGTAAGAGTCCCTTT